CAAACAGGCCGAAGCCGAAGGATCAATAGTGTCACCATTACAAGTAAGCCCAAATGTTTACTAAGTACATATTACAAATCAACAACATCATTCCCGGGGGCCGCCTCCTCCGATGGCTTCGAGGTAACCTCCTTCCCGGTGGCGTCCTCGGCATCATCATCGACGCCCATCATCATGGAATCATGAATCACCGGGCGCTCTTCTCCCTCGGGGAGGGGGACCCTCACATCTGGCTGCAACGGGGGGAGGCCATACACTGAGGGGTTAAACTCATCCAGGGAGGTGCCAAAATGCCGGGCGAGCCTCCGGTAAACCAGGTGCTGGGTGAAGAACTCGCCGGCTTGATAGTAGGTGTCACCTCTCTCGTTCATCCAGTCGAGCCCGGGGCCCCTCACCCACTCCTCGATCGAGGCCTTCACCACAGAGGCCACCCACCCACTCTGGCCCTCAGCCTTCCAGCCCTCGGAGATGAACCCAGCGATGGCCTCTTCTCGGCCTTGGCTTTCTCTCCTCGGCCGCGACCCTCTCGGCCTCTGCCTTGCCCTCGGCCTTCCCGTCATCTCTGGCCTCCTTCAGCCTCAGCTCCGCTTGCCGAAGGGCGTCCTCCAGCTTGCACACCTCCCGGAGGGCAGCGTCCTTGTCGTGGATCAGCTCCTTCACGGACTTCTCCAGTTCGGCCTTATGACGGCACCACTCCTCGCGCCTTCGGGCCTGCTCACCGAAGGTTATACACGCCTGTTGAATAACGGACAAAGGGTTCAGACGGGCATTGGGATTATACTAAGTGTTAAGATAAAGTCAAAGTAAACACTTACAGCTAGAGCTGATCGAAGGGCCTTGCCTTCGAGGGCGTCATCGTCATAGGTGGAGAGGGCTTCCTTATCCATCATCGAGGTAATCCCCCTCAGGAAAGACATCGGTTCAGCTGAACCGTGCAACATAGATGCCCCCGGAGCGAGGGAGAGCTGAATAATCTCCCGAGGCAGGTTCCCCGGGGGAAGGTCTGTTTGAGCCATCGGAGTGTCGATGGCCGGGGGGTCAGCGGAGGGCTGATCATCAATTACTATGAGGGGGGCCGCCTTTTCAACGGCGCCCCCGACAACCTTCTGTTTCTTGATCGGGGGCTCCACCCCCTTGCCTCCCTTTTTCTTCTTGGCGGCCACCTCGGCCTTCGGCCCCCCGGCCACAGTAGCAGGAGCAGCAGCAACTGAAGGCTCCGCAGCCTCCTTCGGGAAAACCTCATCAATGGGTTTTTGACCCGAGGGCTCCTTCTTCTCCTTCTTCTGGGCCTGCGCCCTCTCCTTCTTCTTTTTCATTGCGAAGAGAGCCTCCATACCTGCAAAACAATGCAAAGAGAATATTAACCCGAAGGATTCATACCACAAACAACTATCGGGATGCAAAATGAGAATGCCTAAGTACAAGACTAAGGGCCCTCGTAGACTACCTCCTGCTCCCCCGAAGGCCTCAGCGAAGACGGGATACTTCTCGTCTGTTTCCCCGATGAACCGGTACCGTTGGAACCCGAGGGCATGCAAGTCATCCTCAAAAGTGAATTCTTTGATCGTCACGACCTTCTTCTTGCCCTCCGGGATCTTGGCGAGTTTCAGGCCATCCTTCTCTAGGGCGATACTCCCTACCTTCTCGTGGCGCCGAAAGCGGTCCCGTAGCTCCCTCGGGAAGGGGTTCTCGGCCAACCGGACATAGCACCATCTGTCTTTCCAGCCCTTGTTGGACGAGGGCGCCTCGGTGAACAACTTGAACTTCGGTACCTGCTGCAAATTGGTGAAGCCCTCGGCATTCGCGTGCCCCCCTCGGCATAAGTTGAAGCTTTGGAAGAAGAGGTCCAAGCTTGGGCTAACATCCCTCGTCCGGCATAGGTGCAGAAAGCCAGCAATATATGAATGGCTGTTGGGGGTAAGTTGGCAAGGGATGAGTCCAACGAACCTGAGGTACTCCCGGAGAAATGGGTGCAGGGGGAACCGGAGGCCCATTGACACCGACAGGATGTGGACGGCAATGCATCCCTCGGGTGGCCGGGACAGCAAATCATCGACGCCTGGCTCCACCACTACGGCCGAGGGCCCAGCGTGCAGCTGCGTGACGTACAAATCAGCCCTGTCCGCCTTCGACTTGATATCGAGGGCCTCGGTATTTAGCCAGGTATACCCCTCTGGCATTTCAACAGGCCCCCCAGCACCGGCGGCAACACCCTTCTTCTTGGGGGCAGCCCTCTTCGACTTCATCTTCTTTTTATTACCGGGGGCTATCCTCAGAGGCGTCGGGTCCAACGACCTGGAGGTACTAGGCTCACCACAGTCAGTCCGAGGGGTGGCACAGCAACAGTAACCGTCATCGCCTCCTTTTGGGCTTCGTCCTCCGCCACCTGATACGCGAAGGCTAATTCTTCATCTTCGCACTCCTGTTCGAAGCCCTCGGCTTCCACTTCAGCAGCAAGGGCCTTCTGCAACTCCAAGGCTACGGCTTCGAAATCAGCAACCGAGGGCGCACTGCTACTTGACTCAACATCGGAAGCAACCTCGTCCTCAATCGAGGGCTCCCTCGAGATATCCTGCGAGTCGCTTTGGGACGACATCCTTGGTGTACTTAGGCTAAGATTCCTAAATCGAGGGTTCTCTACAAGGCTATGACACCTAACCTAAGGCCAGGGAGCAAAAGCTAACGAAAAACGGTGAGGAACGAAGGGAGAACTGACCTCTGAAAGTTGCTATGATCGAGGGTGATTTTCTCTCTCTAGAAAAATTCCGACAGAGCTTCGCTAGGACAGGTGATCGCGCAAGAAGAAATGACTCTGGCTCCGGGGTATTTATAGACTCCAGAGTCCGGGCTTGGGCCCGAAAACTGGGCCTCCGGCCAAGCGTCATCATTACATACCGTCATTTCACCCAACCGGTGACGCCCGCCCACGAGCAGCCAACGGCTACACTCCACGTGTACCCCCCCAACGGCTATAAGCCTGACGTTACATATTCCAACGGCTATATTTCCAACGGCTATATTTTGGAAGCCCCCGAGTTTTCTACTTCACTCCACTTCATCAAGGAAAGCCTCCGGGTACACTTACCCAGAAACGCCCCCGGGTTGTGCCCCACACAGCACATAATAGACGCCTTCGGGATCATTCCTTCAGAAATCCAAGGCTTCATATCAGGGCACCCCTCGGGGATTCCCCCTCAGCACTGTAAGAACCGGGTGGCCCCCGGGGAAGTTGCCTCATTGACGGATAGCCTACAGCACACAGGTAATGGGAGCCCTCGGGTATCCTCATCACCAACTAACCAGCAAGCAGGGGACCCCCCCGGCGACAATTCAATTACTTCCCTCATCCATCATGCCCTCGATCCCCAGATTGAGGGGCTCCCCTTCGGCACCCCCAGGACATCAACAGCAAGCCTTCGGCTAATCAACACAGGAGCCCTCAGAAGAGAGAGCCTTCGGCATTACCGTTGTTCTCCATTTTTGACCAAGGTTTCACATTTTCGATTCATCGTTGGGGGAATTCGGTGCACTCTTTTTCCCTCATTAGGATTTTTTTCCCACAGGGTTTTTCCTAATGAGGTTTTTAACGAGGCATCCCCCCAAAATGAAACGAAAAGCGGCAGCCTTCGGCCCACAACAGCAACGCAACTACTCTACTCCTTTTCACCACTTTACAAGTGCCTCAAGGATTGGGGGACTAGAGGACCCCCTCGGGAAAATCATTAAATTACAAGATTAGTGAAATTCCAGCAAACGACAAAGCAAGCCCTCAAGTCCCGACATGTGGGTAACTGAGGGACTGCCTTCGGCAGGGACACAAAAGCAACAACTCCTCACCAACTTCAGAGATCACGACAGGACAACATCAAAGGGCAAGCACAAATTACTCCTTTTCCCTCAAATACCTTTCGGCAAAAGGAGTGAGGGACTCCTGATGGAGTATATGGCCCGGGAACACCCGACCCACAGACTCCTACTACTCCAGTAGAGGCCCAACAGGCCCAGAAGGCCCAACAGGCCCAAATCACGACGCCCAGAGTACCAAGCAGCCCGCAAAACGCACCAGGGGTGCCTTCGCCCCCCTGGCCGAAGGCTCCAAACTATCACAGCATGGATATTTCGAACAAACAGAGGAACTGGGAGAAAACGGCGAAAACAGTAGCCCTCGGCACCTGGAGCCCTCGGCACTCAGGGGTCCTCGGCACTAAGAGCCCTCGGCTAGTCCTCTGCAGCCGAGGGCACCTCTCCCGACATGATATCCGCCTCACATGCGTACAGATCACCGTACCATGTACAGGCGTCCCATCCAACAGCCGCATTAAATGCGGCCACATGCGGCTGCCAACGCCAACCAGTTGAGGTGACCCCTCGGCCAATAGGCGCTTGACACGTGTCCCTGTCCGGCATTTATTGCTACTATAAATAGCACCCCATTTCCCCATTTGTAACCACGCTGAAAACGCTCCACATTTATAATACACTCTCTCTCTCTCTACATTTACTTGCTCTGACCTCTTTCTAGTTATTCTCCGCAATAACCCCTCGGATATATACCCCCGGGTAGACTATCCATCACTTTCATTTGGAGAAGCTTAAATCAACTAGAAAATCTGACAGGGCATCATACCAGACTTTCGGTGCTTGCTTCGATCCGTACAGAATTCATTTATTAAAAAATCTAGAGATTTAAAAGTTCATTGATTTTTGTAGAAATTCATGAATTAAAAAAAAGTTGACCACAAATCCATATTCAGGGAGTGTTTTGATCTGATTCTTAAAACTGCTTCTGCTACTTCAGGGAGCAGAAGCAGAAGTTGGGGTGTTTGGATGAAAGTGCAGAAATGATTCTGATTCTCTAATTTATTCTTAGAATCATTTTTTTTAAAAGTTAAGGGTTATCAGAAAACTGATTCTGATTCTACTTTAAAAAAGAAGTAGAATCAGAATTAATTCCAAATGCCCTTCAAAATAGGATTATAGAATTCTAAATATGGCAGTAAGGATGAGAAAACAAGCTCCCCTCTCAAACAGATCTAGGTATCATCAATCATTATCGTCGGAGCATTCATCCAAACTACAACTACAGCGTGCCTGAAAATACTGCACTCCATACTCCACTCCACTTCTCTTCTAACACCTTGGTGCTTGCGCGTCGTGTTCTGGCCTAACACCTTGGCGCTTGCCCGTCGTATTCTGGCCTAACTCCTTGGTGCGTGTCTGTCTTATTCAGGCCGTGTCCGAGGCCTTTTACCTCGTATCCGGCCACTGTTTGCAAGCGTCAGTCACGTGATTTTTCACCAGGTTTAGCTTGTCTATGCTTCTTCCGCTCTGGGCTGAATAGATTGAACTTGAGCGTAAGTTTGTAAAATTTGGGTGAATCTAAATTGAGAAAAAGTAAAAGGGGCAAATAAAAGCCAAACCGAAAAAAATGCAAATCGTGAGGGTAGTCAAATAAATTTTCAAAGATTTTTTATCCGGGCATAGCCATTTGAGGCGGTTCAGGGTGGAATTTTTTTATGACATTTTTTGAGCATCTTCTTCGTTAAGTCTAGTTACTCATACCAAATTTCACCTAAATATTCAATCGTGACGGTAGTAAAATAAATGTTTGAAGATAATTGTGCAGTTAAACAATGCATTATATTTTAGAAAATCATTTAACTGCCTTTCCGGTTGAATTTTTACCTGAAATTTGGTATGGTTAAACTAGACTTAATGTAGAAGATGCTTAAAAACATTCATCAAAACATTCAACCGCTAACTGTCCCAAATGAGGACGACTAGACAGAGTCTCCAGTAAAGTAAAATGGGTGATTTGCACTTTTTCGGTTAGTTTGGGTGCTTATTTGCACATTTTCCCTTGAGAAAATATTGCTTGTATAGGAGGTGTTTGGATCTTATTCTTAAAAATGAAGTTTGAGTGTTTGGGTGAAAGTGTAGAAGTGATTCTGGTGCTCTAATTTACTCATAGAATCAGTTTTTTAGAAACTGGAGGTAACCAGCTTCTGAAAACTTATTATGTGAAGTAGAATGAGTTCCAAACACCCCCTTAACACCCTACACCATTACACCTAACTATCACTCTTATTTGCATTAACACCATACACCATTACACCTAACTATCAACCTTATTTGCAAATTTATGCTATACTTTTCATTATATCTAAACTAGATCATTTTCTTATTTGCAAGTATACCTTTTTCGTCTCATTTCTCCTAAATGCTCTGCTACTTGATGAAGTGACCAGATAAATTAACTCTTGAGTTGTCTTCTTTTTAGGATCATTAATAATAGAATGATTGAAAACTTCCATCAAAATTCCGTTTCGTAAAACTGTTAGTTGGTATATAAATATATAATGCAGCCCCGTTTCTTTGGTTCTAAAGTATGCCAAAAGAAATCATAGTTTCTGCCTGCAGGGATATTTTTTATGCCAACAGCCACCCTAATGCAAATGCACAAACTCTATTAATAACATAAGCAGAATAACAACTAAAACATGCTAGAAAATTGCTACGAAATACAGAGACAATCTGCTACAGCCTACAGGTGACCCTTCCATAAGTGAATAAGTGCAGGATTTCAGATAAAGCGTGGTTACAAATAACATGAATGCTTTTTTAAAGCTTCTCTGTAAATGTCATTATCAGTTGAACTACAACATGTATGTTGGAGCTTATCCTTTGCAGGCTATTTTTAAAATCTCTAGCTACATGCAGAAAAATAGCTATGATTTCTTATGAGATTTCAGTGCTGCCAGTTTGAAATTTATTTGTAACACATACTTAAACTTCTTTGATACATACTAGGTGTTTGTAAATATGTCTAAATGAGATTTTTAGGTAGATGGGTTTGATGGTAACATTTTAATGATTATATGGAGTAGTTTATTTGGGTAGTTGGGTATTTTATGTGAATTTATATGTTAGTATTGTCTTATTGATTTGGTGCTTAAAAAGTATAAAGTGATTAAAACAAAGAGAATTGTTTTCAATGTGTGTGTGGGTCTGTATGTGAGTGAGTGAGTAGGCTGCATGTTTGTATTTTAATCTCTGAAAATTTATAAACACCAATGAGAGTAAGGACATTTTAGGTATAGAAAATTTGTTGGTGTAACATCATAGTTTTGGAGGTATGAACCCAAAGCTTCTGTCTGTGTATTGCTCTCCTTTTCTCCCTTTAACGGTTGTTGCAGGTAACATTCTCACCCATGCAACCCACCTCTTCTTCTCCCTTTAGATTCTTCACATTCAGCCCAAATTGATTTGGCTAGGGCTAAGAACTCACTTCGTTCTGCTCATACACAAGCCCATATTTTTATTTCCAACAAACATGATAGCTGACAACACAGTTCTTGTAAAAGTGATGAGTCACATGACACTAACTTCTGCCTAGATGACAATAAATTAGAAGAACATCTCCAGAAGTGAAATGATGATGCACGCGTGCCAAAAAAAAAATAGAATTATGAGTCTAATATATCACACTAGGCTCTTAGTTGAACTTTTAAGAGGTATGATTAATTGAAACGTCCTTTTTCTTCCTACAATCAGGTAATGAATTTTAAGCTATTCGAAAAAATAGGACTTGGGATACCTCAATTTTTCTACTTTTATAAGTTTAACTTTGACATATAATTTATTTAGGCAAAAAAGGTTTATTTTTTGTAAACTTTATATTTGCTTATACATGCTTCATGACTAAGACTTACAGTCAATATGTATTATTTTACTCCGTATTTAATTGCATATCAGGTGAGGGATCCTCAACTTTTTCTGTCTCACCTAGTGTCAAACCGGGAAAATGCATGCTTAAGTTAATGGGCTAATAATTCAACCTTTTAGCGGTCTTCTTACAATAGTCTCACATTTTCATTATTCATGAATAATCCAACTTTTGCACCCCATCTTCATTCATTGGTCCCTAACCGATTTATGACTTGTTATTCCAAGTTATTTTCTTATCTTTGTAAAACATTATGATCACATAATGTTGGATTATTCATGAATAATGAAAAAGTGGGACTATTGTAAGAAGACCACTAAAAGGTTGGATTATTAGTTTCCATTTTCCCTTTCATTTATACCTTAAAAGGTTTCTTGAGGATAGACGTTGTCAATCCAAAAAAAAATAAAAAGGAAGGTTTATTTTTCCTGCCTCTGTCCTAGCTTATGCTTTATAAGTTAATGAGCTGGAATATAGTATGATACAAATGATTTATAAATAACAAATTATTTATTCAACTGTTGTGTTCGTATTACTCATATTTTCATTAGACCTTAATTGAGATATTGTTGTCCCTACATTGACATTGGACATTACCACGAACGTGCATCACGCGTTATTAAGCTAGTGTCCATATAATATAATTATATAAAAAAAGTTGTAAGAGGTGTTAATATAACTATATAAGTATAGGTGCATTGTAGTTTTAGTAAACTAAGAGTGAAAGTTAGGGTTGGGGTTGGTAAGGGTTGTTAATGGTGATGCTATTAAAATTGTAATCCAAGTTGTGAGTGGTTCTAGACCCCATTCTAACTTTTGGACTATCACTTCATTTTAATATCAACGGAGAAGAGGCGCAATACTCGTTCTCCATTATCTTTAGTGTGGATCTCAGCTCTCTCACATTGCTATAATAGACACCTGTTCTATTGCTGTATAATGGACACCAGTTCTAGAGTAGGAAGGTGATGCAGGGATGTGGAAACTATATTTCCGTTTCAGGAACTACTAAGAAAGAGACGATTGAAGACAACACTTGGAATGTTCAATATGATGGATGGAGTGATAGTAATAAGAGATTGAACAAGGAAGTAGTTTGACATTTACTTGGATCAAAGTCATCAGTGCCTATTGTTGTGTAGTTTATTGGAGCTTATCTACTTCATAAAGCTAAGGCTAGTGCTAGTCCATACACTAACAAGTGAACCGAGGCTTAATGCCAAATCTGAGGCAAAAAGGCCTTCATCATAAAACTGTGCACTTCAGTTATTTTTCTTGTTTTCTAAAAACAGAAAACTGATTTTATTCAATAAACTCCAATTGAGCAAAAAAGTACAAGTACTAAATAAGCATGCAAGCTCAAATCCACTAAATTATTCAAATTGTAAGAAATTAACTTTTTGTGGATCTGTGGATGTGATAGTTTGAAAGGAAAAGGCGGTTAAACTCCCAGCAAACATGCTTGGCACCTGCACAACGCCTAACCACAGATCTAAAATGATTTGCAATTGCACATCTCCCAATTTTTATACTATAAAAGCCTAATACCTTAGTTAAAATACAGTTTGTTGCTCTGTTTCTGTCCTCAACAGTCTTCATAAGTTATGCTCGGTCCAAACATGCTTGGCACCTGCACAACGCCTAACCACAAATCTAAAATGATTTGCAATTGCACATCTCCCAATTTTTATACTATAAAAGCCTAATACCTTAGTTAAAATACAGTTTGTTGCTCTGTTTCTGTCCTCAACAGTCTTCATAAGTTATGCTCGGTCCTATTATTTTTAACTATTGGTAACCTATCTTAACTAATTTGGCTGGAATTTGATATTTATTTTCCCACTTTTGATTTATTTTCAGGCTCATTATGAGCTCAACAAACATCATTGACTTATGTAGAGATGAAGATCTCGAAAGGTATACAAAAACTGTTAAACTGGAGCCAGGTTTTGCTGGAAGGTCAATGTCACAGAAGGATGATTTGAAAAATGACATAATGCTATCCAAAGTAAATTCTAGAGAGAACCAAACATCTGGGGCTATTTACGCCAGACAGGGTAGTGGAAGCGGTTTATGTCAAGAACAGTCTGCTACAGATGATTCAAGCCTCTGTTCCATATCTCCGATATGCTCAGCACCTCTTGTTCGGCAGTTTTGGAAAGCTGGAAACTATGACGGGGGACTTAATTCAAAGCCTACCCATAAAAGTACCTGACCTTCAAACGATAAAATCTTTTCTAATTGTGAAAGCATATAAAGCTCTAATTTCTGAAAATGCCTTGGATTATTGTTCACTAATTTGAGTTTCACATTATACTTCAATGGCCGCATATATAGTGGTTACAATTGTATACCTCTGTTCTAAAATTTGGCCTAGGCGTAGCCATACCTTATGCGGTCCAAAAATAGTTCACTTGATTCTATTGATTCATTAATTGATTCGTATTGTATAAAACTATCGATTAAGAAACCTAAACATGTAAAATGTAAAAAAAAATGATTTGTCATATTTTATTTTACTTTGCATTTCAGAATTCAGATATAAAACTATAACATTCGAAAAAACATTCTTTAGCACTGTTCTTTCTTTTTTATCCATTGTATTTTCTAGGATCCAAACATACCATTTGTTTCATAAGTTTGGCTGCAGTTCACTGTGTCTCTAACTTCATACTACACACTAGTTATGGTTTACTTGTTTATTCTATCACATGTTATCTAACTAGTTTAATTTCTGTTGCAGATGGTACCAGTTACTTGCACATCCATCCAAAGTTCTTACATTCAAATGCTACATCACACAAATGGGCATTTGGCGGTGTGTAAATTCTCTTCCAAATATACACACATTGTTTATCTCTTCAAATGGAATACAGAACACCATTCCCACATGTTTTCTCATGTCTGCAGCCATTGCAGAGCTGCTTGACAATGCTATTGATGAGGTTAGCCTCTGACTGTCAGCCTGTCTTGCTTTTCCTCTCTAGGATTTAGGCAAGTAGTTTACACTTCTGATGTTTGGAAATAACACCTTCACCTCTGCCTGTCACCGTCAGATCGGCAATAATAGGTGAAGCATTGGTTCACAATTTTGAGGCAAACAAATATAAAACATTAAAACTAGATCATGTCAATTTTATAGTACAGGAAAAAACTAGCCCTATTTTATTTGCAGTGTAGAGCTTTACTATGGAAGTTGCCTTGAAGTCTAACTAGGAGGTAAATAAGTGATGTCATTCACTAGGGCATATTAGAGATGAATTCCAGTCACGGTAGTTATCTCTACTAGAGGATATATTATATGCTTGGAAAGATCCGGATTTTAGGAGTAATAATAATAATAATATAATAATAACAACAGGAACATGAAGTGTAGGGGTTTTCACACAAATTTCTTAAGGAACCGGATAAAACCGTTCATGAATAGCTAAATATAGTGTGAGTGACTCAGTGATAACAAGTACGGGAAATGATGGATCATGGATGGAATAACAATTAACTGTTAGGGACCTCAACAACGCAACAAAAATTTAGAATTATATTGATGAAAATCTCAGAAGACAGTAAGCTATTACAATGGTAGAAACCAGAGATCAACGTAAACTGAAAATAGAAGGATTTGAGACACTTCGACTCGAGTAGTCTCCCACTCCCAGCCTAATTCCAGATCCAAGTTCTGCCTAACTTCATTCCTCCCTCCTTCCCACTCTTATAGTACTTATATTCTAACAGGCCAGCCCACATTTTATGACATGGCACATAATTCTCATTTATACAATACCATACTTATTTAATATCAATCTATAACTACTACTCCCTCCGTTCCTATTAAAACTTCCAAATAGGTTTGGCACAAAATTTAAGATAGTGGATATTGTGTGGTGGAGAGTTGTGCAGAGGAGAGAGAAATGTGTAAGAAATGTTGTGAACCACAAATTCTTTACTAAAAAGGGAAAGTGGAAGTTTTAATTGGAACGGACGAAAAAGGAAAGTTGGAAGTTTATTTAGGAACGGAGGGAGTACTATTATTCTCTACAGCCCAAGGCCCTATCATATCTCCCCCCTTAACAACCACCTTGTCCTCAAGGTGAGTGATAGGACACAACCTTGATCTTGAACTTCATCTTCATCCTGGAGCCTCTTCCTTCCCAGTACCTCCGGATTTCTGAACCATAAGTTTCTGTACTTCCTCCTTCCACCTCATAAACGTTTCTGCAGCCGAAGATAAGTCTAGTGCAGTTTTAGTCTCTTCAGTGGCTATCAAGCACTCAATAACGGCAAATGTTTCTTTGTTCTGTGCTTCTCCATCTGCAGCAGTTATCTGTTTTGTTATTGCTGCAGCCTGTCCTTCCAGCAGATTCCACATGAGTGATTTGTCATTATAGATGATAATTTCTCTCAATAGTCTCCTCACATCAGGACTTGGTTCTGCCAAAAGCCTTCCAATCATACATGTATATGCACTCTCCACCACTTTGAATTCAGGATCCCCTTCTTTTGTAGTTCCTTCTAGTAATCCTAAAGCTCGTATCACCACTGCAGAGTCATGAGGAAGAGAGAAGTTGAACTCGTACATAACATCATATAACTGATTTATAGCCTGGACATCCTGGGATTGTCTACTTCCATCACCAAAAGATTGTACGACAGTTCTTTCAGGAATGAAACCGAGAAAGAGGAATTCATTTTCCGAACTCCTTGAAATTGTAGCCTCAGAATCTCCAGCTGCCACCCTTTTCAAATAAACTTGAAGCATGAGAGCTTTCAACTCATTATCTTCTGGCCATTTTAACTTCTGAGTTCTGAAATAAGCTAACTTCCTTCCTAACTGTCAACAACTCCTTCCTTGTTCCGAGGTGTTCACTCATGTTCACCTGAAGGGCATCCCATCGCCTCACATCATATAGGTTTTCCATGGTCTCGGCAGCCCCTTTTTTCTGTCTCTGGGAATGCTCTTCTTTTAATAAGAGGTGTTCGTGCGTTAACTGGCAGCTCATGGGTGGCACATATCTAGCTCATTACTCAATAGGTGGATGGTTAGAACTTCCCAACTTAAAAAGTACAGTAAACACATTAGAAATTTCAGAATGAGCTGTGACTTTCCCTCCTACTAGCATTGTCCATGAGACATTCGGAATACATGCTCCAAACACTTCACATATGGTCATCAGAGACTCAACAAGTTGAAGATCCTTGCCATCAAGAGAAAGTAACTGGACACAGTCTACTGGTGGTATGCCAACTAGCAGGATATTCAGCATTGATGCATAACAGCTCGACTGATTCTCTTTTCCAGAATACTCTGTAGAAACTGGCGGAGACCACAACGTAGTAATGCAGTAGGAAGTGTGTTCCTCTTCAACGACGTTCAGTCTTCCATCTGCTTTCCCAATAGCTAAGAGCTGTTGAATCCTGCCAAGATGATTCCAGTGCGCAACATCACCACCAAAGTATTGATTATAATCCACACTAGGACAACCATGGACCTCTAATTCTTCTCTGATATGATAATGGTGCAGTATCTTTTCTGTGACAATAGTGTTAGCTACTTTCATATGTTCAGAAATATAACTTTGATCATAGCGCAAAGTATCAAACCCCGCAGAGGAATTATTTTGGTTTTGCCTTTTAATATTGTCCTCCTTTTTCTCAGACTCTGATTCACCCTCACTGCCTGGTGTCACTGAGGGACTTGATGGTGATTTGTTTTCTTCATCTTTCATATATATACTGGAATCGTACCTTGACCCGAACTGAGAGAATTGGCTCGCGACGACGCCTGGGGACTGGGGAAAGTTGCTTGTGACTTAGACGAAACTTGTTATTTGAAACCTCCTGTCAATCTCGTCTCACTTGGATGAGAACTGAGAGAAGCTGTCTGCGACACCCTCCGTGAACTGGGAACATCTGCTCACTTCAACACCTGCGTACTGGACAGATCAGATAGAGACCGTACCTGCGAACTTGGACAGACTGTCTGCGAGTGTGAACTGGAACTAGGAGAGACAGGTCGCGAGTGCGAAGCGGAAGGTTCTCCCGTAAATCGCGTCACACTTTGACGCGAACTGAGAGAAGCTGGTGGTGTGGAAACCTGCGAACTGGGAGATACTTTTCGCGACTGCGAACTGATAGAAGAAGTTCGCGATTGCGAACTGTGAGATGAAGTTCGCGAAGAAGCCAGACAATTGGACGGAAGTGCTAGGGGTTGAGAAGAGACCTGCGCACGCGATGATGCACACGACTGAGGAGCGACGGACGAAGAAACGTGATTTTCAGTTGGCCGACGCTGTCTAGGAGGGCTCCTCGCTCGGCCTCTAGTTCTCCGGCGACGCTGTTTACGTAGATGATTTATCATCTCGTCCAGCATTGTTTCCATCTTCATGACATGGCGCTCGACATTTTCGGGGCTATTCTCCATGTTTGCGCGCAAACCAGAGGCGGTCACCTTCTGTTCTGGCCGTGGATGTTCCCTGCGCTGCTCCACTTTTTTTTGCGTGAATGTCGATCCAAGCTTCCCAGAGTCGACTGCTCTGATACCAATGTTAGGGACCTCAACAACGCAGCAGAAATTTAGAATTATATTGATGAAAATCTAGAAGACAGTAAGCTATTACAATGGTAGAAACCAGAGATCAACGTAAACTGAAAATAGAAGGATTTGAGACACTTCGAGTAGTCTCCCACTCCCAGCCTAATTCTAGATCCATGTCCTGCCTAACTTCATTCCTTCCCTCCTTCCCACTCTTATAGTACTTATATTCTAACGGGCCAGCGCATTTTTTATGACATGACCCATGTGAAAGTATTATTGTATCTAGGAATATGCTTTAGGAATATGCTCTAGAATATGCTTTAGGAATATACTCTAGACATTATTATTGTATAGCATCTTATATAGGAATATTCCATCTTTGTAATATATATATAGGGCCTTAACCCTCTAATGAAATACACAGAAAATCCTTCTCTTCATCTTCAATGTTATTCTAGTTTATATTTCAACATGGTATCAGAGCCTTCTATTTCAGTTTAGTTTTTCTGTTTACCAATCTTCAAGAACCTCTGATCTTCCCAGAACCTCTTATTCTTCCCAGAACCTTTTCTCAGAACCTACTGCTCATCCCAGAACCTTTTCCCAGAACCAGAACCTCAGATATAAGAAACAATTGGGTACCCATCAACCCTTCTCCGTTTCAGTTTAGTTTCCATTTATTTTATTTTTTGCTTCTTTCAGAACATCCTTTCACACACCATCAGCCGAAATATAACCCTCAGAACCTTTGCCCAAAACATACCTCACCCCCCTCATCCTCTGGTTCGCCTGCCCCTGTCGACCGAACATCCGAAGTCCGCACGCCCAAATCATCGCGCGTGAGTTACACACGCCGTCGGAAGCTTCCGCAGCCAACGCACGCTCCGGCGCGTGACGCCGTGTTTCTGGCCGGAGATTTGATCGAAACTCTTCGCCTGAGACTCGCTTGAAAATCCTCTACCAGGTATACTTTACTTCTCTCTCAAGGGACGGGTATCTGTGGTTGCCTGGTTGGTCGCTGGGGTCTGGCATCGGACTTCTGCTGCTTCCTCTGGTTGTTCGCATCTGCTGGGGTATCACATGGGATATTTGTGAACGATCACAGGCTTCTTCACTGATTCTTTGCATATCTGCTGGACTCCGTAGCAGTCAGGCCAAGCAAATTAGATACAGAGTATTTGATTCACCAGCTTTTAAATCCACAAACGAGAAAGCTGCGGTGAGTCCAGTTTTCACTGAATATTTCAAGTGTTTTATGTTATTTTATTTTTAACCCCCTTCCAAAAAAAATGTCTTGTACGAGTGGATTTAACAGAGGAGTAATATGCAATTACTGTAAGAAGCCCGGACACTTGATCAAAGAATGTAGAAAATTGCTGTTCTAAAATCAAGGAAATCAGCTTGCTCATGATG